TCCAGTAGGTGCTCAATAAATAGTCACTGAGCAAATTAAAGGAATCGGAGAGGAAATGACGGGGTGTGAGTACAACAGGATGGAACGGGAGCAGGTAACTGGCCTGGACAGCAGGAACCTGGGGCTGTTTTTAAGTATGTTAAGAAATAGCCCATAATAAAAGGAAAGATAAGATAAAGATAAACGTGGGCAGCCTGTTGGCAGAGTCTCCCATGCTGTTCTCGAGGTCTGGGAGCCGCAGTGGGGCCGGACCGTCAGAGCTGTCACTGTGTGGTGATGGCCTGGCGTCCCTGGTGAAGAGGCACGGTTCTCTACCCGGACAAGGACTTCTGTGCTGCCAGGCCAGCGTGGCTTCAGAAGCATCTAAATGTCAAACTCTTAATCTGAAAGAGCGGCCTTTGCTTTTGTGTGAGCTGGGAAGAAGGGCCGAGGCTGCTGGGAGAACAGGCCGCGCTGTGGCGCTGGGCTCTATCCTGTGGCTGCTGGCCGTGCTGGCAGCATGTCTAGCAGTGCTTATCTCTGGGTGGGGTGAGTGGCGACTCATGCGTACTACGTGCTCTTTCGTACTCAGAATTTTCAGGAGTGAGTGAACGCTTCCACAGGGACCACGTCTTCCATTTGGAACTTACGGTGCACACAGCAGGCTGGAAGGCCGGGGGCTGGGGTGGGCGGTGGGCCTGGGCCTCGGGAGGAGGAGGCTGGCATGTGGCTGGTGTGGCCGTGTATAGTCCCCGTGGACAGGAAAAGTAGTGTCTGGCAGCCAGGCTCACTGTCAGGCAAAGATGCAGAAAGGCAAACAGTTCGTTTGGAGGCTGTGTCCGCAGTTGGCAACGGGAAGCTGGCCAGGAGGCCGAGGGATCTGTGGTCCAGTGTGGCCCTGCCTGGGGCAGCACTGTCTTGCCTTCCCAGCTTCCTCCAGCTCGGATAGTTTCAGCATTTTACAGGCAGCGCAGCTCCTAAGGCAAGAATGACCCGTGGCCACGCCTCGTAAATGAAAGCTCAGCTTTCCCACAATGGGCTCCTGGGGAGCTTGAGTTTCCACAGCTCCCGTCCAGGAAACTCCAGAGCAGAGATTTCAACCAGTTCTGTGCAGTCACTGGGTCCAGAGCTTGCTGCTCTGGGCAGGTGGAGAGAAGCCTCCCCATGGAAGGATGAAGGCCCAAGTTATTTCAAGTGGAGGGGAGAGTAACACCCACAGCAGGTGGGGTCCAGGTGAGGTTTCCATGGGACAATGGACACAAAGCACTGGCTGGGGCCGCGAGCCAGCACCTGGCTGGAGGAGGGGCGGGATAGACTGCACCCCACCTGTGCGTGCTGCTCAGGGGGCTGCTGATGCCTTCCCAGGAGGACCTGTGGCTGACATGCCAGGGACGGCGCTGATGCCAGGATGGCCTGTCACTTCCCTGAGACAAGCCGGGCTCTGCTGCTCATGGGGGCTCCGAGCCCCAGAAGACGTGTCAGGAAACAAAGGGCACAGCTGTCCCTGCAATGTGGGGAGTTCCCCAAACATCCATCTTGCCTGGCAAACTCCTCCCACCCAGAGCCTGGGGACCTGACCCTTCCCAGAAGGGCAGCCAGAGGCAGCTGAGAACCAAGGAGTAGAAAGGGGACTGACCTGTCCCTCTCTAAGGCCAGCATAGACCTAGAGTCCAGGAGAAGCAGAGCAGAGCAGAAGGGTGCCAAGGGACACTGCCAACAGCAGAGATGCCCCCATGTGGGGACCCCTGAGAGCGGAGGCCCTTCCTCTATCTGCTGTCCCTGGCACCCTCACCTCTCCTGCTCCCAACTGGAGGGTGGGTGTTCCACTCTGGCCCCCGGCAGAGTCTGGCCCAAGGCCCTGGCAGGAGCAATGTCCTGGGTCCCTGTGTGTGGGCTGCAAGACCTTCCATCCTGGGGAGCCGGAACCCCGGCTGGGTGCCTCTGGCTTGTGGGGGTGTCTGGGGAAGTTCCCGAGTCTGAGAAGGGGAAGGGGAAGCACCTCAGCCCCAGAGCAAGTGTGGGAAGCAGGCTGAGCCCTGCACTGTGACCCATGATGTTCCGGGGCCTCTGCTCCAGCCTGGCTATGGGGAAGGTTTCCAGTTTTAGTTTTAGCTCTGGTGCTGAGACGTCTCGGACTATAGGCAGGTCACTCCCTCTTACCAGGCCTCAGTTTCCTCACCTGTAAAGTGCTCACAGAGGGATGAGGGAAACTTCCGGTCCTGAGCTGTCTGCACAGGGGCCATGGTTCTTTCTCTTTCAGGTAGGAGGCTGTGCAGGGCGAGGCCTACTCCTGGGGTGGGGTCTGGATGAGGCCTAGAACATTCTTCCTGCTGCCTCTGGGCCTCTCCTCCAGATCAGTGTGGCCTCTTGCTCCGTTCCTTCCTGGTTCCTTAACCTCCTTTCTCTCCTGATCCTCTCTCCCTCCTCTGTCTTGCCTCCTTCCTGCCCTGTCTGTACCCCGTGCCAGGGCCTAGGCGTCTGGGCCTTGTCCTCTCACTGCCCTACCTGGACTGTGTGCGACATCTTCTCTCATTTTCTGGCCGCAGAGTCTGAAACTGGGACTGAGTGTAAGCAGATTATTTATTCCAGAGGGACCTGCAAGGAGGGCACGTGGAGGGAGCCGTGCTCAAGCAGCTCAGGAAGATAAAGGCCGGTGCCCTGCTGAGCAGCTGTCCGAGCTGTGGACAGAGTGATGGTCTGCAGAGTGAGGCGCGCCCATGTCTATCCAGTTCCTCCTCGTGTGGACGAGGGCTGAGGGCGGTCCCGGGGCCCTGTGCACTGGAGCAGGGCCTCATCTTCTCACTGAGGACTGACTGAACTAGGCGGGAGACAGGAACCCAGCAGAGCAGGTCTCCCAGGCCCTAAGAACCACCTGTGGCGGTGTCTGCCTGGGGGTGCCTCCTCCCTGTGCCCCTGCCGGGCTCCCAGACCCAAGGAATGGCCCTAATGGTGCAGGTCCCGTGAAGCCCGGGTGTGTACACATGCACGTGTGCATGCTCATTTGCACAGAGTGCCTGAGTCTGCACGTGCACACGAGTGTGTTTATGCATAGCATACGTGTGTCCACTCCCATGGATTCATGTGTCCAGGGCACAGGTGTGTTCATGAGTGTGTGCGCACATGTATCTGCATGTGTGATGTGTGCTGCGTGTGTGCAGGTGTTTGCAAACTTGTGTGGAGTGGCAGCAGGAGAGCCCTGCTGTCATCGGGGCGCCCTGCACCTGTCTGCCTCTTCTGACCTGGCCCGCTTCCCTTGGCCCACCCTCTCCCACTTGGCGGCACTCCTTCCACAAACTCCGCCAGGACATGGTTTCCATGGTGTTCCGATAAAAGCTGGGATTCAGATCTTAATTGCAGGGAGTGGCAGGGAAGGGTGGGGGAGGGGCTCTCTGGGGACGGAAGCTCGGGTGGTTTTTCTTCCTTCAAAGGTATCGAAACACAGAGAAGTGGCTCCCAGGCTCTGCCCGTGGCCTAGTGACGGCAACGGAGCCACTGTTCTCCGCTGTCCAGGCCTGGGACCAGGGCTGAGCCCAGAGGCCTGCAGGGTGGGCTGGGGCTGCAGTCAGGCTGGGACTGACGGTCAAAGCTGCTTCCTGTCGTCTCTGTCTCACGCTGCCTGGCCTGGAGTCTCACCGTTAGCACTGCATGCCTTTGGCGCTCTTGTCAGCTTGTCTCCTGAGCCTCACAGCCTCACCTCCACACCAGTCCAAGAGGGGCCTGGGCAGCACCGGCTGGGAAATGAACGAGTGAAGGAGGGCGCACAGGGAGAGTGCGGTGGTCCGGATCATTGAGGGTGCAGAGTCTGGGCCCAGGACTGCTGGCTGCACAGGCTGGAGGTGCTCGGCTGGACTCTGGCAGGCTCCTGCTGGCTCTGCTGCCGACCACCCTCTGATGCCAAGGACCCGGGGGACAGGGGCCTGTGGGGCCGCCTCTGCCCACAGAAGGCATCCTCGCCTGTGGACCAGGGCCTGCAGCTGTGCCTTGTGCCGGGGGATCTGTTGCAGCAAGGAGGGCAGAGCAGGGCAGGAAAGGGGCGAGGTAGGACCCTCCCATGCAGAAGCATCTGGGGTGGGGAGTCGGGCAGGGAGGCCAATGACTCGGCGTCAGTTCCTGTAAGGCTGGTGTGCATATTGGTGCGTGTGCGCACATGTGTGACTCCTCACACCACTGAACACTGGTGCAAGTGGACAGGATTCTTCACACATCTTCCCATGACTCCCCCGCGCCGTGGCCCTCAGAGCGGTTCTGGCTTCTTCCTCCTCCCTGGAGTTGGGTGCGAGAGACGGAGAAGGTCAGAGGGTGTGGGAGGGTCCTGGGGCAGAGAACGTGGATGGGGAGATCTCGGGGAGCCCCGCCGGCCGTGGTCCATCTGACGGGGCCACGGAGACACAGGTGGACTGCGAGAAAGTGGGAGGTCCTGAGGTGGGTGGCAGAGAGCCTCAGAGGGCTGGCAGGGCCGAGGGCCAGTGGGGTAGGAGGTTTTCTGCAGTTGAGTCCAGGCTCCTTAGCATCTTAGAGAAGACAGGAAAGTGTCTGTCGGGATTATTTCCAGCTCTTCTCTGTCTTCTTCAGAGGCACTGCTCCAACTGGGCCCCAGAAGCCAGAGGTTTGTCAGGGTTATACTCAGATCTCTCCTTCTTCCACCAAAACATTGGCCCTTCTCCTGCTCTTGGACAGACTTCTTTAAAGAGAATGAAATTTTATTTCACACTTTTTTTTTTGTACTGCTGGGCATGGAAGCCCGGGCCTTGTACATGCCAAGCAAGTGCTCTACCACTGTGTTACATTCTCTTCCCTAATGATTTTACTTTTAAAAATTTAATCAGAATTTAAAAATCATTGGTCAACTTCCATGGAGAAATTTCTGACAGGAGGAAGCACAGGGTGGGGGCTCTTGGCTCACTGGGTGGCGGGGGAGGCCCAGATAGGGCCCATTCTCCAGGAGCAGGGCCGATGCCCACGTGTTCTGATGAGAGGTGAGTGGACAGCTGTCCGCTGCGGCAGCCCCTGTCTGAGGAGGGAATGAGTGAAGGAAAGGATGGATACGCCAGGGCCGTAAGGAAGAGTCTGAGTCGGGGGTCCACAGACTCCTTTATTGAGAGACACAGGGGTTTGCTCTCTGGTTGCCACGTGAAGGGATAGAACACGGAGGGTCACTGGAGACACACGATGGGCTTTGTCAACACGCTGGCTCATGGGGCTCTGGACTCCCTGGGGCTCGAGCTCAGCACACAGAGTGAAGCCTTTGGAGCCAGGACACAGAGCCGGTCCAGATGCACCCGTTTCTGCAGGCGCATGGACACAAGTGTAAAGAGAGCAGTGACAAGGATTCGGTGTTGAAACTCACACCCTCCGTGCTGACCTGCACCGTTGGCACCTGGCCAGGTAGAAGGGGGTCAGCTCTGCCCATCTCAGGGACTGTCCCTTGCATACATTCTGAGCCAGGTCCTCCAGGATAGTCCCAGCCAGCTGAGAGGGTAGAATGGCTGTGCTAGTTTCTTAGGCGGAGAAACTGAGGCTAGGAGGAATCGTGGCATTCTCAATGTCTAGGAAGGCAAGGTCTTTTCAGGCTTGTCTGGTCCTGACTTCAAGTGCTAGTTCAGACTCCGGTGCCCAGGCCCTGCCTCAGGGCTTTGGATCTGCTAAACTCTGAGTCTACCCACTGAGCAGGGGGCACCACGCCGACCTCAACCAACAGCGCTGGGCGCAGCAGGCCTCTTAGAGGCCGAGGTCCTCCCTGGGGTCAGCAAACAGGCCTGACTTGCACCAGGCCCGCCCTGGTGACCTGGAGGGTCATGTGGCTTACAGAGGGATTTTGTGGCTTCACGTACCACACCAGTTCACGTCCAGGTGGCCAGATCTGGGTGGCACTTGTAACCTGGCCTCCAACTCAGCACTTTAGTCCAGAGGGAGCTGCCCCAGCCAGGACTGGGCCCTGCACCCCAGCAGCACTGTCCTACAGGCCGTCTGTTCACCTCTGGTTTCCTTCCTGGGCGGGTGGGGGGCTGAGACTGTAACACCCACTTCTCCAGGCCAGACTCTGCTGTCCAGGTCCTTCCTGTTCTCCCACTCCCGCTCCAGCCCCTGCCTGGTCTAGGGCTCAGGCTACCTTCTCAGCAGGGAGCCCAGCAGGTCCTTTCCTTTCCTATTTGGAGACGGCTGCTAGAGACTGAGGAGGCGCCTGCCTTCCCCGGCGCCTGGAGCTGGGGGCCAAGGCCTCTGCCTGGCGGCTGTGACAGATGGGCCTGTCTCAGCCCAGAGCTGCTGGCCAGCTGGGTGCCTGGACATCGGTCCTGTCTTCACCTGCTGAGGACCTGGCCCCTGGCCCGTGTGACCCTTCTCTGAGGCCCCACCCTGAAGCCAGCGCTGCCTGGCGGGCTGCCAGCTGTGTGCGTGGGTGCATCCTGGGCGGGGAAAGGAAGAGCCACTATCTGCCCACCGTGTGTCCATGCAGGTCCTGGGAGTCAGTCTAGGTAGGGCCAGGCCAGCGGGAGGCCCAGGTGTGGCTCTCCCAGGAGGCCTCTTTTGTCCTTTTGTATACATCACAGCATGGGTCCCTCTGTGGGCCACAGGCAGCCTGGGGTAACAGCAGCAGCTCAGGCCCAAGCCTGGAGTAGAAGCCTGGGAGCGAGGCCCGGGGCCACTGTGCCTGGGCCCGGGCTGGACCAGAGGTGGGAGGTGAATGTGGTCAGCAATTCTAGAACTCTTGGAGCTGGTGGGCCAGACGCAGCAGTGTTGAGATGGGGGTGCCGAAGGGCCCGGCTCAGGGGCCGGCCCAGCAACTCTTTCATGTCCTTTTTTCTTTCTCTCTAAACATCCATTAGTCTGGGAACAAAGGAAGCTGCCTCCTCTCTCCGAGCACTAACTGCTCTCGTCAAGGCCCTTCTTGGATCCGGGAAAGGACCGGTCTCCGGGTTCTGGCTTTTAAAGGGGGAGGGGAAGGAGAGAGAGGAAGGTGGGGGAGGAGGGCTGGGCTGAGGGGCGAAGCCGAAAGGGACAGGTCTCTGGGGTGCACCCAGTGGCTGCCGGCTGTCCCCACCGAGGGTCTGGGGTGCTGCTGCCCCAGCAGCGCCTCTAGGCCTTGCGGGTCCCCGTAGTCCTAGTACAGCGTCTCCCGGGTGGTGCTGCTGGAGAAGCCGTGGTTGCTGGACACACTGTTGGCCTTCCGCGGGAAGGTCGGCCTCTTCCTCCTGCGCCGCCACGCGGGACAGAGGCAGGCCAGGGTGGACAGGAAGATCTGGCGGAAGTTGGCCGAGACAAGGTTGTAGAGGATGGGGTTGATGGTGGAGCTGACGTAGAAGAGCGTGTTGGTCAGCATGTAGAAGTAGTGGTAGAAGTCGTAGAGGAACCTGGGAAGAAAAGGTGTTCAGAACCACGGCCCCCAGGATCCACAGGGTGCACAGAAGTCGCCAGTGATGGCCTGGCTGGCGGAGGCAGGTGGCTGGGGGCACCCCGCACCCTGGGGAGTTTCCTCAAGGGAGGTGTGACCCTGCTCTAACCTCGCTCTCGAGTGGACGGGGCCCCTTCAGGCAGGGCCTGGCCCCTGCCCGGCAGCCCGCCTGGCAGAATCTGCCTCTCCACAGCCAGAGAGGGAAGCAGGCTGCCTCCCCCACGGCCTTGCGAGTCCCCGCTGTGCTGTGCGTCTGGTCTGGGTGGCAGAGACCCTACAGCTGGTCGTGTGTGAGGAAGGCCCTCAGGCCCAGTGCCACGACTCTGGCTCTCAGGGTCCGCTGCAGCTGCTTCCCGGCTCTCTGCGGCCGCCTGCTGTGCACTGCACCCGTGGTCCAGGGGTTCTCATCACCCTGGCCCCGCCTGCCGTGCTGCGGGCGCCTGCCCAGAGCCCAGTACTCACGGGGTCCACTGCTCGTCTGAGATGTAGCAGAACATGAGGCGGCGCACGTGGTAGGGCAGCCAGCAGACCACGAAGGCGATGACCACGGCGCCTGAGGAACAGGGAGACCGCTCAGAGAGAGACAGACACGGGCCCAGGGGCAGCCGCAGGCCACAGGGACACGCGGGACACATTATAAATTCATGGGCTGCAAGACAGCATTCTTTTTGTTTGTTTGTTTGGTACCAGGGATCGAACTTGGGACCTTGTGCTTATGGTGGCACCAGAGCCAAATCCCAGCCCTAGAAGACAGTATTCTTAAAGCTGTCACCACAAACAAATGATCCATAGATTCAACACACCCCCATCAATCACATGGCTTTTTTTTCAGAAATAGAAAAAATCCTGAAGTTCATAAGGAATCTCAAGGAAACTTGACTGCCCCAAATAATCTTGTAGGAGAATAATAAGGCTTGAGTTCTCACACTTTCTGATTTCAAAACTTCATCCAAACTACAGTAATCAAAGCAGTTGGGTGAGGGCAGACAGACAGACAGACACAGAACAAAGCAACGCACATGCCCTTGCACACAAAGGACCTACGCCCGGTGGGGGAGTGCGGTCACTTCCCACTGGGCTGGACACCGGCCACGTGCACGCGGAGCTGCAGAACTGGGCCTCCCCTCCCACCTGGACAAAACCAACCCAAACTGCACTGAGGACCTGAGTGGAAGACTTGAGACTCTGACTCTTCCAGAAGAAAGCATAACATAAAAACTTCAGAATGCCGAGTTTGGTGATTCTTTGAATGCAATGGTTTCCAGGGCGTGAGCGAATGCAGAAGAGGGAAAGATACAGATAGGACCTTGCGGTTGACAGAGTTGTCTGTGTGTCCAAGGGAGCAACCGGCACGGAGGCTGGCTCGGTCTACAAGCGCTAACGTCAAGCTTTAGACAGAACCGCGGAGAACTGGCAGTAAGGAGTGAACAGCTTGATTCAGAAACAGACAGGGGACTTGGACAGACACCGAGAGTCTGCATAAGCCGCCGCAAGGCCCCGAGAAGTTGCCCAACAACGCTCATCCCTGAAAAACGAAAGCCCGGCATGGTTGCTCCAAATCAGACAGCAGGGCTGGGAAAGCGAGGCGGGCAGCTGCTGGAGAGCACAGCTCAACCACGCCTCAAAAAACCAGTGTTAACACAGGACCCAGCGGTCCCTCGGTGGGAGGGGACCCCCAGCCGGAGCGGGACAGCAGGGTCCACGCCCACCCCACAGCTGGAAGAGGGGAAGGGGAAGCAGCCCGGTCCGCTCGGAGAGGAAGGCGGTTCCGACACATGCTTCAGCCTGGATGAGATCCGAAGACCTCATGGTCAGTCAGAGAGCACAGGTCCTGCAGGTGTCTGTTCACGTGGGACCCGCACCCGAGTCGGACCAGCAGGGACTGCGAGTGGTGAGCAGTGGCAGGGTGAGGGAGGGGTGAGGGAGGCCGAATGCACCCAGAGCTGAGCGGGTGACACCGAACAGCGGTGGGGCTGTGCCCGACGGTGCGCCAAGCTAGGCGAAGACGGTACAGCTCATGTTATATAACTTTTAGCCACAATTTTTAAAACAAAAGATGGAAAACTGTTTGGGCGCCTCCCTCCAAGCAGAAGGCTCCAGAGCCCAGGGTGACAGGCCGTGCCCCGAGTCACTGCACACAGCCAGGCGGGGCTCCCACCTCCCCGTTGGCAGGATGCAGGGTGGACCAGGGCCCCCAAGCTCTGCTGGTTTGAGGCTGTCCTTGCCTGAGGAGACTAAAGTCTGCTAAGAATGCAGTCTCTCAAGTTCCCTGGAAGCAGAGTTGAGGTGCCTGGGCCCCAGAGGGGTGCTGCTCTTGTACCCCAGTGGCTGTCACCCCAGTCAGCTCTGGCTGATCGCTTCGGGTGAATCCCTGGGGGCTGAGGGGATTCAGCTGTGACAGTGGGATCGGGCTGGATGGGGCACCTAGATTGTACTGTGAGGTCATCAATAGTCTCTTCTGGGGCAGAGACCCAGACACTCGGGGGAAGTGGTGGTGTCCTGGGCAGAGCCATGCCAGGGCCCAGCAGGCAAGAGCCACTGGGGTGCATGGGACAGGACGACGGGCAGGGGCCGGTGTTCATGCCTGAGCTCTGTTGCCCGGGAGACCGGTGGGGGTGGCAGAAACTTGGCCGAGACAGCGACAGGCCTGGAGGCCAGGCAGCCCCACAGGAAGGGCCAGCAGTGGGCTCTGGGGCAGCCCCGGCGCACGGCACGGTGCAGGTGCAGCTCTGGGGGCCGGGCCAGGTGTGTCCTGGAGGGGGCGGGCAGCATCTGCGCAGACAACTTTGGGACAGCAGCTCAGGTCAGGAGCTCGTCTGCCTGGCCCAGCCCTGCCTCAGGGCCTGGGAGGGCAGTGGAGACCAGATGGGCTCTGCCGGCCTGACTATGGGGAGAATAAGCCCTTCTCCTGCCCCAGTCCCTAGAGGGTGCCACCCATGCAGACCCCTGCTCCTGCTCTGCCCCGGCCATGGGGCTGGATCCCCAAAGGATGCTTAGCACAGCGGTGGCACAGCCAGCTGACTGCCCAAGGCCACAGCTTGGAGCCCACAGGGTGCCAGGACCAGGAAGGGCTCCAAGCCAGAGGCTTTAGCGGGTGAAAGTGCACACCACAGGACACAGAATAAAAAAGCTTCTGTCCCTCCTGAGACTTGCTCATCACACCTGGACAAAGCCACTGTTTCCTGAGGCTGTGTGGGCCCCATGAAATGGCCTGTCCCTCTGCCTAGCTTCCTTCCCAAGTACCTGATGACCACACGACTTTTGCACGGCACACCCCTGCCTGCTGCTTTGTTTTCAAGACCTGCTCCTTGTCCAGAAGGGCTGGACACTACCTCCCAGAGAGCCTCCCCACAGCTGTGAGGCTTGGTGATGTCGATTTTTCTCTCTTCTTCCCACTGGTCACTAGAGGCAGTTGGTTTTCCCTGGAGCCCTGTTCCATGCAGTGCTGACCCATCCACTGCCCTTACATCTGTGAGCGAGATGCTGGGCCAGAGCCAGTGCCCAGCAGACCTGCCAGGCATATGGTGGATACACAGAGAGCAGCACGCCCCAGGTCCTGCCGGACCCCCCCCCCAGGTTAGGGACCCTGGCCGGCCCACCCCAGGGCCCCAGTTACATACGGAGCACCCGGACGCCGTGCCGCAGGGCCTGAATCCTGCCGGGCTCAATGGACATGCTGAATGTGCCGGGCTGCGTCCCCAGCTCGGCGGCCTGGCGTGCCGTGACGGTCAGCTTGTTAGCGATGACGGTGTTCAGGACTGAGATGACCGCCATGGGGAACACGAAGGACGTGAAGGTGTTGACCTGAGAGAGAGAGCACAGATGAGCAGCCAGCCAGGCAGAAGCCCCACGCCCACTGCCCCACCCGCTGCTTCTGTGGGTGGGGCCTGGAGAGCGGCTGCCCTGACCCGGTGCCCAGCACCGCCGGAAGCCCAGCAGGGTCCCACTGCACAGTGGGCACTCAGATTCCGGCGACCTTGCTGAACAGAGGCCGGGCACTCTGAGTCCTGGCCACAGGCCCTGAATGCTCCAGGAGGCCAAGCCCAGGGGCTGCACGCTGCCCCAGACCGCTCAGCCGGATGGAGCAAGACCCCCGCCCCGCTCGCTGCCTCTCCAGGCAGGAAAGTGCCCGCACCCCCAGCTCCAACCTCCACATCTGCCCTGCATCTGGGAAGCCACACCTAGCAAGGTGAGTCCCCGCCCAAGGCTCAGGTGGATTTGAGCCCGGCCCCATCTCTGCTGCCAGCTGAGCATCCCCCGTGGGTACCTGCCAACTCCGGGCGGCCAGAGCTGCCCCGTAGCTGTGGAGGAGGAAAGTGCGTCAGGGATGCTCCCGGGACAATTGAGGGCATGGCCCGCCAGTCCCCGTGAGAACTGCCCGTCCTGCCTGAGGGCCAGCACCGCTGTGCCCCATGACTGCAGGCAGTGGCATAGCCACTGAAGTGCCAGAGGTCTCTCGGACACGGCAGGCTTGCTCTGCGGGTGCTGGCCGAGGCGCCTCTGCAGGCCTGGCCCCACTCAGGAAGCAAGCGCTCGGGGCCTCCAGAGAAGGGGAGGCCTCAGCTCACCTAGGCTCCACGTGCCCAAGCACTGCAGACAGAGGCTCGGAACCCTCGGACCACTGCACTCCCATCAGACACAGCGTGACCCGTGATCAAGACCGTATCTCAGCAGGGGGAGAAGGGGGACACGTGGTAGTGCTGGCCAGCCTGGACTGCAGGATGCTAGGCCTGCTCCTTAGCCCTCCTTCCCCTAAAAACAGCACTCCACACAAGCGCAAATGGAACCTGAGCTGGCCAATTAGCACATTCCGAAGGGCACGGGCCAGCCCCCATTGGGCAAATGCAGGCCACTACTCATCCCTGCACCAATCACATTTGTCCAGTGAGGCTCTGCCCAGGCCGTTACTGAACATCCACCTTGCTCTGGGCTCGCTGAGCAGGTGCCTGTGTGTGTGGCCACTGCACCCTTTCCCTTTCCCCCAAGGGGCCCTGCCTGACTGAGTATGAAGCCAGCACAGGCAACAGATGAGCACTTCGTGATGTCAGGATCCAGCTGTCCCTGCAGCCAGTGCTCCTGGACTTGCAGTTTTTCTTGCTGGGAGTTTTGGGTTTTTCTTGGTACCAGGGATCAAACTCAGGACCTTGCACTTTTGGGGCAGGCGTGGTGCCACTGAGATAAATCCCTGGCCTTCCTAGCCTTTTCTTTGTTAGAAGGTTGTTGATTACAGAGTTGGTCTCTTTGATTATTACAGATTTCTCTCCTTCCTCATGATTTAGTTCTGGCTGTGTGGTTTTGCTAGGTGACCTCCTTCACGTGTGGTTAATTGCTCACGGGAGCATATTTGATTCTTTTTTCTTTTGGAGCATTGGTTGTAACACCTCTTCTTTCACCTCTGATTCCCGCTGATGCTGTCTTTGCTTTTTAGCATCCCTCCCTCTCTCTCTTTCCCTGCTCACTGCAGAAAGCCTGGGTTCCAGGGCAGCAGACACTGATGAAGCAGAAAAACCTACAGTGAGCTATAAACACAAGGCAGTGCTGGAGGCTGCCTGGCTGGGTACGGCTTGGGGCTTCGGGGAGACCCTGGCTAGTGGACGAATCTGACCTCAGACACCATGGTGTGCAGGAGCCTGTGGGGCCCTGAGCTGCCCCAGCAGAAGGTCCCACAAACTCAGAGGCCTGAGGAGGAGACGAGACAGCAGCAGGAGTCAGCATGGTGGCTGCCAGGCCCCGGCGCCCCTAACCCACTAACCCTTCTCTGACCCCGCAGGGCATGCCCCTCCCAGGCTGAGTGTCCACCTCTGACCCTTCTGTGTAGCCCAGCCCAGCCAGAGGGTGGCCTGGAGGGAAACGTCTCACTGATTCATCAGCTCAGGGGCATGCTGGCTGGCTGGAGAGGTGCCTGTGCCATCACACTCAGGCTGCAGCACCCACAGTGCCTTGTGCTATGCCTCTAGAGGGAGCAGAGGGACCTCCATACTCTGGGGGACTTGTGTGGGCTGGCTCGTGGGCTCTGATCTGCAGGAGGGACATGGGTAGGAGCAGGAGAGAGGCGGGGACCGTGCGTGCCCAGGGCTGGCTGTGGGAAGGGCCATCTCATCATGGCATGGGATCAACAGCCAGCTGGATCAGGTCAGGCACCTGGCATGGCTCACCTCTCTGTCTCTGGTGTCTCCATCTCTCCCCTACATTTTGACCTCCATCTGTCTGTCCCTCTGCATCTGTCCTGGGCACCAACACCCCTGGGTAGGAACTGGCTGCTGGGCTCTGGGCTCTGGGTGCTGAGCAGCCCTGAGCCTGGGCCTCGGGGGCCAGGTCTAAGAAGCTGGGTTGGTGGGACCCAAGGAGAGGGCCCCGGGGGAACAGTGACTGCAGTTGAGACACGACAAGCCCAGGAACACCCTAGTTCTCTGCTCCCTTGGCTGCAAGCAGCCCCTCCCTCTGGCTCAGCTCTGGACTGGAATTTCCTGAGTACCAAGTGGGGCCTCTGGGAAGCACCAGAGTACCTCAGGGTTGGGACAACTGGAAGTTGGGGTGGGGACCTGAACCCCAGATGCACAGACAGCCTGTCATCTGGCCTGCTGTGACCTCAGACAGGTTCTGAATAGCCTGTAGGACTCAGCTTTCCCATTTCAAAAAGAAGGGCCTGTAGGTGCTTACCCGATTGCCTCAAGCACCCAGGAGCCTTTGCAGCATCCTTCACAACACCCAGGGTTGACATCAAGGCACGCAAAGTGGTGGGCGAGGTTGGCCACAGGGCTTCAGCTTGGAAAGCTGGAATGGGTTGATCCAAGGACTAAGGCAGCCAGGTTTCTGTCCTCCCTGCACTTGTGCTTTTGTGGGAAGGAGGGGGGTTGATGAATGGGATTAAACAATAAAAAGGAATCATGTTTCTGGTAGCTGGTCAGGGGCATGGCCTCTGGGCAATAGGTCTGAGCTTGCAAGGATGGGCTGCACAGAGCATGTTTGCAAATAGGCAAAGGCTCACCTGGCCAGAAGGAGTGTGCCTGACATGGCCCTGAGCACGCCTGGACCTGCTCACCCTATTTCATACTCTGCAGAACAATCACTTATCTTGTACTGGAGCTTTTGCTAATGAATCCCATTGTGTGTAGACAAAGAGACAGCTCCAATTCACTGGATGCTTCAGAGCTCAGAGCCAGCCCAAGGTGAGTAGGAAGGTACAGGACACTGCTGAGGATGTTTGTGAAACCTAGAGGAGCTGCAGGGTAGCCACTGAGGCTGCAGGAAGTGAAGAGGCCAGCTGCTCACCACTCCGCCACAGTGACTGCTGGGGCCACCTCGGCTGGCCTGGCAGAGGACTCTGATGGGATGACCGGCCCGTCAGGCCTGGACAGACCCCGAGGGAGGAGCTCTCAGCAAATGTTGGCATGGGACAGCTTCTCGGGGTTCTCGCTGCTCCCCACCTCTCACTTCCACTGCTGCTGAGACCAGGATGACGACGCAATGGATTCCAGAAACACTGAATGTCGAGGCATCAGTGACTCTTCTGAGACAGCAGAAGTGGGAGAATAACCTGTGTTGCCTGATCAGCTGTGATGCATTGGGCCTGCAGCCCCGGCTGCTGCACCCACTCGAACCCCCCATCACCCCACAGGCGTCCAGCTCATGCCCAGCATGGTTTGGGAGCCAAAGCTGTGGGACTTGCTGCACAGCAGGGACACACATGACCACTGTGGAGTAGCTTGGAAACAGAAACAGGGCAACAGGGAGCACTGCATTCTCGGCAGCAGCCTCCTGACCCATGAGAACCCCAGCTGGGGCCTTCAGGAAGGGAGCCATGGACCTGGAGAAACTGGCATTTCTGAGCCAACACTCAGAGGAGTGGGAGAAGACAGGGCCTCTCATCTAGGGAGACCTGTGGTCATCCTGGTGTCTGAGAGGCACTGCAGGGAAGGAGAGGAACAGTGCAGCTCCTGGCAAATTCTTGGTGGCTATTCCTGATCCATTCTACTCTCTGACAGCTCATGTGTGCATTTGGGATCAACAATGGAATAATGTTGGGATCCATGTAACTTCCGCTTTCTAGCTGATAGCATACCCTTGGGTGACCACTCTGGGTTGCTTTGTGGAAGCCGGACACCAACTCAACCCTATGTGCCCTTCATGGGCACAATGTCAAGTCTGTGAGGTAAACTACAGTGCCCTCATTTTATGTTGGAAGAAACACAAGTGTTCAAGTCCACAGCCCGAACTGTTACTACCTGTGTCATAAGACTCTCAAGTGGACACATGAGCCAGACAGACAGGGCACATGGTCCTTGTCCTCACAAGTGAGAGAGGCAGGCACAGCCCACCTCACTTCCCAAAGGGCATTTTGTTGGGGTAGCTGCCAGGTTTTGAGACCATCTAGGCTGTGAGTCCTTGGGCGCCTCCTGGGCTAAAAACTACCCAGCAGCTTCTGTTTACCTCCTTCCTTCCTTTACTCCACTACCTACACCTAGTTCTTGTCTTTTTGTTCTGCTTTGGGATTTCTGGGAGAGGCTAAGCCACAGACTGGGGTCACAGTCCAAAGATTTCCAAAGCCTCAGGGAGAGGTGGGTTTCAGCACCACGGACAGCGGCGCGCTCTGCTCAGGGAGGGGCTGGACTGGGTGTGGGCCAGAGCCTGGAAGGGGACAGGGACAGGGCTAGAGCAGGGCTCTGTCACGAGGCCTCCAGCCCCTTCTCCAAGATGGGCAGGTGAGCAGCCTGTGATCTCTGCAGGGCTGCTGTCCCCTCCTTGCTGGGCAGCCAGCGGCCCTGGGCGTGGGAGGTAGAACCGTTTCCCTTCTGATGGCTGGG